ACCCAAAAACAGCGATGGCGATGAGAACTGTATCCTTTGGGCATGAGTTTGTTGAGGCTAGCCTGGGGTTTGGTAGGAGATGCGAGGGCTTTTGCAAGGTTCGGGTTGCTCGGGGCTAAGGTCAAAGCCTTGGCGCCAGCGGGGAGCCCGCACAGCCGCCCGGGGTAGGGCCCTGGCTCTGAGGATGCCGACCGCTCTCCCCTCTGGCTGGTGATGGAGCCTCATTCAGCAGAGCAGCTGCGAGGTAAAGCGGCAGGCTGATATACTGAGGGGAGTCATCCTGCGCCTTCCCCCAGCTTTTATCACCCCGTGCTCAGTGCCAGAGACTCACACTTATTATAAATCCCATCCATTACTCTAGATGCCCAGAGGTAGAGATTGCAAGCGTTACTGCTCCCATTTTCCAGATGAAGAAGCTGAGGCCCAGAGAGGTTAAGTGACTTGCCATGGGTCCCAAGGCATCAGAGCTGGGATACAAACGCAGGTCTCCTGATTAGAAGCCAGACACTTTTTCTGCTATGCCACCATCGTAACCCTCTAGAAGATCATCGTCTAGATAGAGAGACTGGTCATGTGTGCTGAAGTGTTAGCCGATATGATTATTGACATGATTAGCACCATAGAAGCAGTCCTGAGGGTAAGAACCACAGCGGGCTTCACGGGAGGGAAAGGTCGCTGCGGCCAAGCCCTGTCATGGCCCGTGGTGGTCGGGGAATCATTTGGTCCTGAGAGGATGAGAGGCAGGCCTGCGGATGGCCCGGTACTTACGTCCCTTGACTCCCTGCTCAGACATGGAGTTCCTGGAAGTGCTGACAGAAGGCCTGGAGCGGGTGCTGCTGGTGAGGGGTGGGGGCCGGGAGGTCATCACCATCTACTCCTGAGCGGGGGTCCACCGGATCCTCTCTGGCCAGCGACGGACACTCCAGTGCGAAATGGATAGCCACAGCTCCTGCTTCCCTTCCTGCCCCCGCTCCCCCACGCTGTCCCCTCCTGTGCCCCCGGGGGCCGAGGGTGAGAGCCGGGCATCCCCCAAGACCCCAGCCCCTCCCGCACTCCTCACCTCCCGTTTCACCTTCTGCCCACAGCGGCCGACTTTGAAGCTTAACGCCTGGTAGACGAGGGCTCGGTGCAGTGTGTTAGTGCGGGAGGGGCTGCGGGGAAGGCCGTTCCCAGAACTGTTCTTGGAAGCTTTGCTTTGAGATCTGGGGTTAGGCCTGGAAGGCTGTTCCCCAGGCCCCTTACCCTGTCCCCCCTTCTTCCTGACTCTCTAGACCCGCGAGGCAGTGAGGAGGGTGTTGTGGAGGCAATTTCAGAGACGGCAATCAATGAAGCTAAGAGAGATGAGGATTATGTTTGCAGGTGGCCGTGGCCCGCTGGGGACCGCGCCCTATTTATTTGTGTATTTATTGGTCGAGAAGGTGGCAAGGGTGCAAGAGAACAGAAAGGCAGATGCTTAGGGGGAGGGGGAGGCTACTCCCCTGACGGCGGGCACATCCCTGCCCCGAGGAAGCCACCAGGCTGTGAGGGCGCAGACACACCCGCTCTGAGCTCACCAGCCGGCCTTGGGGAGTCGGCCTGGCCCGGGAAACAGAAGTGGACGGAGCAGAAGGTCCCCCTGAGTTTTGAGTTGTTACTTGTTTGTTTTCCCAATAAAACGTTGTTTACTGACTTCTACTCCCACTTTCCGGGCCTGGTTTTGTTTCCTTCTTTGGCTGAGGGAGGGAGGGAGCGAGCGAGCGTCCAGTTTCAAAAACAGCTGTGAGGTCATGGGGAGCTGGCTCTGCCCCAGCCTGGCCTCCCTCGCTGTCCTTGTCCTTTGTTGATGCCTGGCTTGGTTCTGGCTCCTTCCCTGGGACCCAGTCCAGTTGTCCGGTGGGCGGGGAGATTCCGCTTCCCGTGCTTCAACAACCCCTTCCCGTTTGGGGAGTCTCCCCTGGTTTCCAGCTCTAGAGACTGAGAGCTTTAAACAAAGCTAAAAACAGCCGCCTTTAGGGATGCTGGGATTTGAATCCAGATCCTGAATTCTGTCCACTATGCCCTGCAAACGCTCTTTTTTTTAAAATTTGGAGGCAGTCGGGGTGAAGTGACTTACCCAGGATCACACAGCTAGTACACATCTGAGGTCTGATTTGAACTTAGGTCCTCCTGACGCCGGGGCTGGGGCTGTACCCACTGTGCCACCTAGCGGCCCCTCTGCAGACTCTGCACCCCTCCCCCCCATACTCTCCAAGGCACCAGACACAATTCTTGCCTTCGCTAAAAGGTGAAAGGATCACTTGGCAAATGGCTGAACCACTTATGGTACACGAATGGAACGCAGTGTTCTCGAACTGTTTGAAACAATTAATGTGAAGGTTTCAGAGGAACGTGGGAAGGCCGCTAATAACCAATGCAGAGCAAAGGAAGTGGAACCCAGGACACAATATATACAGTGGCTACAACAACAGCAGCAACGATAATAATTGCTAGTATTTATATGGCGTTGAAAGGGTTGCAAAGCACTTCACAAATATTTTCTCATTTGATCCTCACAGTAACCCTGCTGTTAATTATCCTTATTTTAAGGAAGAGAAACTAAAGTAGACTTGTCCAGACTCACACAGCTGCTAAGTGTCTGAGTTGGGATTTGAACTTGGGTCTTCCTGACCCCAGATCCAGTGTTCTGTCCACTTTGCCAGAAAAAAGTGAAACGTGATGGTGTGTAACTATAATGACCAAGCTTGGTTCTGGGGAAGAGTTGAAGAATCACACTGCCATCTTTGCAGAGATGAGAAACTACAGGTATATAATGTTGCAAATGCTTGCTTTTTTTTTAATTAATATTGTCATTTTTATTACGTTGTCATGGCCTAGCCATGAACACTGAATAGTCCTCCAGTTATTTGTTTTTTTTATTTTAATAGTAAATAGTATTTTATTTTTTCCAATTACATGTAAGGATAATTTCAAACATTTATTTTTTGTAAGATTTTGAGTTCCAAATTTTTCTCCCTCTCTCCCCTCCCCCCTCCACAAGATGGCAAGCAGGCTGATACAGGTTATACATGTTGCATATGCTTTCAAACATAGTTGGTTTTAAACACACCTCCCATCTTTGCAGAGGTGGGGAGCTGCAGGTATATAATGTTGCATACACTTTCAAACAAAGTTGGTTTTTAAACATACCTTCCATCTTTGCAGAGGCTGGTAACTACAGATATATAATGTATACACTTAAGATGCCATTAGTTTTAAACACATCTATCTTTGCAGAGGTGGGGAACTCTGGGTATATAAAGTTACATCTGCTTTCATATTGAACTGCTTCTTTGTTGCAAAGGATGGCTCACTGGGTAGAGGGAAGAGAAATACTCAGAAATGAAAGTGATGTGAAAACAAAAGATATAAGGACTGGACCTGAGATTTCATTGTAAAAGATGCCAATAAAAATAAGATTAAAAATAAATGCAGGGGCGGCTAGGTGGCGCCATGGTGCACAGAGCCTAGAGTCAGGAGGACCTGAGTTCGAATGTGGCCTCAGACACCTGCTAGCTCCGTGACCCTGGGCAAGTCACTTCACCCTAATTGCCTCCCCCAAAAAGCCCCAAAAAACAAAACACAAAACACCCCAAATGCAAAGTGCTTTTTAAAAAGGATAGAAAAAAAGGTAAAACACTCCAGTTAATCAAGAAGCATTTAGTGAGTGCTACTATGTGCTCAGAACTCTTTTGGGCCCTTGAGGAAATTTTTTTTTTAAAGAGAAAGCCAGGACTTGAATTAGATTCCTAAGGATCGTAAGATCTTGGACTGAAAATAATACTGGCTCACATTTCTACAGTGATCTAAGATTTGGAAAGCACGCGGTGTACATGATCTCATTTGACTCAACAAACCTGGGGATGTGGGTGCTGTTATTCCCATTTTACACAGATGAAGAAACTGAGGCCCACTGAGCTTAAGTGTCTTGCCCAGGGCAAGTATTCAAGGTAGGATTCAGCCTCTGCTCTTCCAGGCCCTTGTTCCAGCACTGTTACTACAATGCCATGCCACCCAACTTGGAGTCAGAAAGACTGAGATCAAATCTGACCTCAGACATTAGCAGTGCGACCCTGGGCAAGTCACTTAACCCTGTTTGCCTCAGTTTCCTCATGAGTCAAATGAGCTGGAGAAGAAAATGGCAAACCACTCTGGTATCTGTCGAGGAAAACCCCAAATGGGGTCAGGAAGAGTCAGACAGGGCTGAAAGTGACTGAACAGCAACAAAAACCTCCCAAGGTTGTTGTGAAGATCAAGTAAGATAATAATTGTAAAGCACTTAGTGCAGGGACTGGCACTATATAAATGTTAGCTATTATTATTATTACCATCATTATTATTACTATTAGCATCATCATTGTCACCACTATTCTCTTCGGGGATCTGAGAACGTTAGCCCAATCTCATTTTTCAGAGGAAGAAGCTGAGGTCCTGAGGGATTGTAACCTGCCCAAATGTTACTCGGCTGGTAAGTGGCTGAGATGGGATTGAACCCAGGTTCCCCTTGAAAGGCAGCCCGGAGAGCAGGGATGAGGGCAGCAATTCATCCTACCCCATTAGTAATAACAGCTAGCATTCGGATTGGGTTTTTTTTCCCCTTTGTTTTCTCCTTTGATCCTCACAACAGCCCATGTTACAAGATGAGGATGCCGAGGTCGAGTGGTCAAGGGATTTGCCCGGAGTTAGAAGTGAAATTTGAACTCGAGTCTTCCTAACTCTGAATCCAGCATTCTACTGGCCTTCTTTGTGCCAGTAGGCACAAATTACAAGGGCAGAGTCCCGGTTGGCTACCCTGGTTCACTGGCTTCAGTGTCCTGAGTTCCTAGGGAAGGTCCCAAGGTCAGTGCCCTGGCCAGTTTTCCCACATTTTCCCAGCCTCCCCTAGCCAGGAGATTCCCTCCCCCTAGCTCCCTCCCTCCTCATTTCCCCAGGCCCCTCCCACTGCCCCCAGAGCACCAAGTCCCAAGCCCTCCCACCCCCAACGCTCAGGTTCCCCGGGCTCCTCCAGCCGCTGCCCTCCTCCGGTCCCTCCCCCTGCCACCCACACTTCCCCGATAAGGGGCCGAGCATTGGCCTGTGTTTGCTCCAGGCACGGCAAGCATGGGGCTCCTGGGACGACTGGACTGCCGCTACTCCTTCCTGGGCTTCCTCCTCCTGTTCCCCTCGGCTACCTCCTTCTGGCTCCTCAACGTCCTCTTTCCCCCAAGCGCCACCCCCAAGGCTGCCCTCAACAACCACACGAGACCCGTAGTGCTTGGTAAGGCTGCCCCCGGCCCCACCCCTCCCACCTGGGCCACTGAGGGTGAGGGCCTGGGGGAGGAGGGGGCGGGGAGCTGGGTGAGGGGTTCTGCCTATCGGTAGAATCGGGGCTCCAGGAGTGCAAAGCAGCGTCTCCTCCTCCAGCCTCAGCTACTAACCTAACGGCCCAGCTTGACGGGAAGGATGTCCCCTGGGTCTTAGAAATCCAGCCCATCCCTAGCTGTGGGCTGGGACAAAGGGAGGGAGTCCTGGCTGGTGGGGTGACCTGGGTCTCCTCTTCCCTCCCCCAAACCCCACCGATCCACACCTCACCTCGTAATGTCTGCTGGCCTCTTGTGCAGGGCCCTGCCCAGACTGTTTGCTCCATCCTGGACTTTGGCTGAGGCCCTGGAGGGAAGAAAAGGGATGTTTGTGTTTGTCTAGCTCTGTCCTAAGTGGGGGGTCAGGGACCATGCCCCCCTTTCCCCCCAGCTTCCTGGTGTGAGCCCAGGGTTTGGAATTACAACCTCCTCCCACAAGGGACAAGGGGAAGGGGGAGAGCAAGTGAGGAATGTGTGATGCGTGAGAGTGAGAGCCCCCGTGCCCACAGTGCCTGGCTGCTTGGGGAACCAACTGGAAGCCAAGCTGGACAAGCCAAATGTGGTCAACTGGCTGTGCTACCGGAAGACAGATGACTTCTTCACCATCTGGTTTGACCTCAACATGTTCCTGCCCCTCGGGGTTGACTGTTGGATTGACAACACTAGGTGGGCCCTGAGACCCACGCTCAGCCCCCTCCCAAAACCAAAGAGATCCCCAACCACCCCCAAGGCCCTGGTCCAGATCCCTCCACATACTCAAATACACTTTAAGCTTGGCAAACTTTTGACGTCCATTGGTTCATTTGATCCAATGAGACAGGCTGTAAAGGATTATTACCCTCACTGTAGCGATGAAGAAACTGGCCCAGAGAGAAGTGACCCCCAAGTAGGAGTCACACTCAGGACTTTCTCCAGGCTATGTTGAACAACTGGCCGTGGATGCCAGGACATCCGTGCATCCTATACAACAACCTGGGTCACAGAAGCTCAGTGTTGAGAGACCCCAGAGACAGGGCAGCTCAGCCTGTGTTTGATTCTAGGTGTAGTCGTCCACACCTACATCTGCTTCCTGCTGTCTGCACACAGTCATGCCAACATACACACAAACACGCATGCATACACACACACACACATACCCCACTCTCTGGAGGCTGAACCTCCTTCTTGACTCTGCAGGGTGGTCTACAACAGGACCACAGGACAAATGTCCAATGCCCCAGGTGTGCAGATTCGGGTCCCGGGCTTTGGCAAAACCTTCTCCGTGGAGTATCTGGACCCCAACAAGCTGGCAGGTAGGCAGGTATAAAGCTGGGGACCCAGGCTGATTCCATGAAAGCCTGGAAGCAACCCCATAATGCTCGACACCGAAGTCCCGGCCTCACTGGAGGGAAAGAGTCCCACAAGACCCACGCTCTGGAGGGTTGGGTCGGATGGAGGAGGTAGAGCACCACCCTGAGGGCTCTGCCCTTGGGGCCCTGCATACCCCTATAACTGTAAGTAACCCTTTATCCTGTATCTCCACCCCAATGAAGGCTACATGCACACACTAGTCCAAAATCTTGTCAACAATGGCTACGTGCGGGATGAGACGGTCAGGGCTGCACCTTACGATTGGAGACTGGACCCCAGTGAGTAGGGGTGGGGGTGTGGAGGGAAGGCACTGGGCATGGATGGATTTGAGGAGGGATGGGAACCCAGGGCACGGGGTCCGGTCTGGTGTCCCACACCTCTCTGGCCCCAGCTCAGCAGGAAGAATATTTTAAGAAGCTGGAAGGGCTAGTGGAGGAGATGTACACCGCCTACGGGAAGCCCATTTTCCTCATTGGACACAGCCTGGGCAACCTTCATCTGCTCTACTTCCTTCTGCGGCAGCCTCAGGCCTGGAAGGACCGATTCATTGACGGCTTTATTGCGCTGGGGGCCCCTTGGGCTGGCTCCATCAAACCTATGAAGGTCCTAGCTTCCGGTAAGGACGACACCGGGAAAAACAGAAATGCATAAATGCATACATGTAAAAATCCTCAGAGACACCTACGGACACACAGACAGATCCCCTCAGACACAGCGCCGACCCCGCTTACAAACACACACTCTCAAAAACACAGAACCAGCCCCCAACCACATGTCCCTCCATACAGGTCATACATATATACTGATTCCCATGGACGCACAGAAACACATCCTGATCTATGTACATATGTACATATACCAGATATAATCCACCTAGGAGTGGATATAGATTTTCTGGCCTCCCTTCATATCTGTGACACCATTTGAGATTTTGCCTCCTGAATCCCTCCCAGGGCTCGTGGCAGAGATGGGGTAATGGGAGGATACAGTGGGAAAAAGAAGGGACAGGTGTGAGTCTGACAGTGAGGGAAAATAGGAATGTCAGAGTCCCAGGGCTCTGGTTCTGAGTCAGGCCAAGTTGAGGATCTGGGTCAGTACCTAATGTCAGATTCCAGGTCTGTACCTGAGTCTGAGGTGTACTAGGGGCCAGGTCGTCAGTAACATTTTATAAGTACCTACCATATGACAAATATGTGGTAAGCAGTGAAGATACAAAGAAAGCGTAAAAGACAGAGTGTGAATCAGTTTGAGGTCTACGCTTAAGCCTGAGCAAGGCTGTGACCATTTGGTGGTTTAGGGCTAAGGTAAGGGTTTGAAGCTGGAATGTGAACGGGGATCCGTGGATTTGTGGGTGGGGTCTGGAGCATATTTAGGATCAGAATCTGGTTTTAATCAAGACATGGATTGGGTTTGGGGGTAGTGAGTGATGGTGCTAGGTTTGGGGTCATTGGCAAGTCTGGCACTGAATTCTGGGGTGGGCCCTCACTCTGTCCCCTGCACACAGGTGACAACCAGGGCATCCCGGTCATGTCAAACATCAAACTGCGAGAGGAACAGCGGAGGACCACTGCCTCCCCGTGGATGTTCCCTTCCCGCCTCGCTTGGCCCGACGACCATGTCTTCTTCTCCACACCTAACATTAATTACACCTTTCAGAACTTTCAGCGCTTTTTTGCCGACCTGCACTTTGAAGATGGCTGGTACATGTGGCTACAAACACGTGACCTGCTGGCGGGGCTGCCCGCACCAGGCGTGGAGGTCTATTGCCTCTACGGTGTGGGGCTGCCGACACCCCACACCTACATCTACGACGAGGGTTTCCCTTACAATGACCCTGTGTCTGTTCTGTATGAAGACGGTGATGATACTGTGGCCACCCGCAGCATGGAGCTCTGCTCTCGCTGGCGTGACCAGCAGCCCCAGCCGGTCCACGTGTTTCCAGTCCCCGGCCTGCAACATCTCAACATGGTCTTCAACAACCAGACACTGGACTACATCAACTCCATCTTGTTGGGAACCTATCGGACAAAGGCCACCAAGGACTCCCACTCAGACCCTGCCCCCTCCAAGGACTCCCACTTGGCTTCGACTCCCAGAAACAGAAAAGGTCACAGACCACACGTGAGGGGCCAGTAGTCTACTCCAGGTGGCCAAAAGGGCCGACGGCACCACATCCGTTTAAAACTTGGCTCTGCTCCTGACTTTGGGCCCCTCCTGCTACAGCTCTGCCTGGGATCGAGGAGACATCAGACACCATGTATAAAAACCTCTTCTTTGAAGCCTGACTCTGGAGTGACTAGGGAGGAAGGAGGGTCTGATTCTCTGGAAATGGGAGGAGAACAATAATAAACATTGATTAAGCATGTACTGTGTGCAGAGCACTGTGATAGGCGATGGGGGATGAAGGAGAGATAGAAAGTTTAGATAGGAAAGGATCCCTGTGGTTTTTATAGTCATAGAGGGAGAAAAGACACAGACATACCCATAGAACATAATATTACACGATAAGTACATTTACATATGTAAAACTGAGTGATATCTGGCTTCCAGCCCCACCACATGATTAGAACTGCATGCTATAAAGGTTGGCTGTAATGTTCAATTTCTAGATCTGGTGAGTTTTTTTTTCTTAGCCCTCATCCCTCTTGAATTTTCTGCAGCCTTCTACACTGAAGACCTCCATCCTTGAGATTCTGAACCACCAATTTCATAAGAACAAATCTCCTCTACAACCTCAATATGTGGGCCCTCATTCCCATCCTCACTCTCAACTATTAAAATCCAAACAATGACCAAGTGAGGCTTGAGCTGGGACCTATTGTTGGCCAGTCAGTGAGAGCCAGAGTGATTCGGGTTTAAGGCATGGTCACATGACTCCATTTGAATTCCAATGGGCTTTATCAAAGCCTCGTTTTCTAGTGCTGTATTTCAAGAAATAATAAATGAAACTACACGGGGCAAAAGAGTTAATTGTCCCAGTTTTGGTCTTCCTCTCACCTAATTGGTGAGGGCAATTAGGGTTAAGTGACTTGCGCAGAGTCACACAGTTAGTGAGTGTTATGTGTCTGAGGCTGGATTTGAATTCAGGTCCTCCTGACTCCAGGGCTGGTGCTCTACCACTGCGCCATCTAGCTGCCCCGATTTTTTTTTTTAAGTAGGTAAAAGAGGCTATTTTTTTGCCTCATTTCTTACCTAGCCTTAATCACTGAATGGGTGTTGCCTCAGACAAACTGAGACCTGGGAAAGACTTTAATTTAAAAAGGCCAAGCCCTCCCACTGCATCTAGGGTCATCTCCAGTTGTCCTGATCTATATCTAGCCATTGGACCCAGATGGCTCCGGAGGAGAGGGTGAGGCTGGTGATTTTGCACAGCCCTCCCTCACATCAATCCAATGCACTTGCGTGTCATGACATCACTTTCCTGATATCATGGTCCTCTTCAAGAATGAAGGACGAACAACAACATTCCCACCCACTTCCTACCTTCCCAATGTCTGACTCCAGATCTACTCGCCCCTTCCACCATGCCCTCTATGGAATTTTTGTCCATGATTCACAAACTTCCTTTCATTTTGAACTTTTTCTTTTGCCATTTTCTAGCTCTCCCTAAGACCTGGCTCCTTCTGGATGACCACCTTTCCAGTACTGGCTTCATTTTCTCTCTTACCCCCAGACTCACTAGTCATGGTAAGGAATCAGAATATTCCTTGCTCCTGATTGCCACTTCCAGATCCTCTCTTTATCACTATCACTCAAGGAACCTCTTCATTTTTTAGGTTTGTGCAATCAAAATGTGTTACCCAATCAAGATTCTGGTAGCCACTATCTATCAACCCCCAAGACATTCTCCCTCCTTTCTAAATGAGTTCAGTACCTGGCTCATGGCCTCCCTCTCCACCCCTGCCTTATTTCTAGGACATTTCATCACACATTTTTAAAATTCAATTTTATCTTATTTTCAGTTCTGAATTCTCTCTCTCTCCCCTTTCCCATGCCCTCATCTATTGAGAAGGCAAGAAAAATAAAATCCATTACAAATAGATACAATCATGCAAAACTAATTCTTGCATTAACTATGTCCAAGATTTAAAAAAGGAAGGAAAAGAACATATGTTTCCATCTGCACTCAGAGTCCGTCAGTTCTCAGTCTGGAAGTGGATAGAATGTTTAATCATGAGACCTTTGGAATTATGGTTGATCAGAGTTACCAAGCCTTTCACAGTTGATTATCTTTACATTATTGCTGTTACTGTGTAAATTGTTCTCCTGGTTCTGCTCATTTCATTTTTAAAAATAATTATACTTTTTTTGGACAATATATAATACCTATTCTTATTTTAAAAAATAGGAAGCATAAATGGAGCGTTTTCTTTTTCGTTTTTTTTATTAATTTATTTTTAATTTTCAACATTCACTTCCATAAGCTTTTGAGTTTTAAATTTTCTCCCCCTCCCCCCTCCCCAAGACAGCATGCAATCTGATATAGGCTCTACATATACATTCTTATTAAATACATTTTCACATTAGTCATGTTGTAAAGAAGAATTAGAATGAATGGGAGAACCACAAGAAAGAAGAAACAAAAAAAAGAGAAAGCAAATAGTATGCTTCAATCTACATTCAGACTAAAGAGAGTTTTTTCAAAATGATAAGAAGTATCAGTCTAAAATGAAGAGCAAGCATTATCTGTAATAGGGATAATCTAGAAATCTTCCCAATAGGATTAGGGGTAAGGTAAGGATGTCCCCTATTATTCAATATTGTATTAGAAATGCTAGCTATAGAGGCAGCTAGGTGATGCCTCTATAGATATAGATAGAGCACTGGCCTGGAGTCAGGAAGACCTGAGTTCAAATCTGGCCTCAGACAGTTGACACTTATTAGCTGTGTAACCCTGGGCAAGTCACTTAACCCCAACTGCTTAGAAAAAAAAAAAAAACAAAAACAAAATGAAACAAAATGAAAGGCTAGCTATAACAAAAAAAAGAAAAAAGAAAGAAATTGAAGGAATAAAAATAGGCAATGAGGAAACAAAACTATAACTCTTTGCAGATGATATGATGCTATATTTAGAAAATTCTAGAGAATCTACTAAGAAACTAGTTGAAACAATGAACAACTTTAGCAAAGTTGAAGGATATAAAATAAACCCATGTAAATCTTTACCATGTCTATGTATTATCAACAAAATCCAGAAGAGACAGAAAAAACAATTCCATTTAAAATAACTACAGATATTGTAAAATACTTGAGAGTCTACCTGCCAAGACAATGTTCTAAATAAACACAATTACAAAATACTTTTACCCAAATAAAGACAAATATAAACAATTGGAGAAATATTCATTGCTCATGAGAGGGCTGAGCCAATATAATAAAAATGACAATTCTACCTAAATTAATTTACTTATTCGGTACCATGCCAATTGAACTACCAAAGAATTGTTGTATAGAGCTAGAAAAAACAATAACTAAATTCATGAGGAAGAACAAAAGGTAAAAAAAATACGAAGGACTGCCTAGCAGTACCAGATTTCAAACTATATTACAGAGTGGTGATCATGTTGGGGGTGTGGGCAGTTTTCTTCACAGGCCTGAAGCTCTAGGGGCTCCCATTAGCCATTTAAGAGATCTCACCTTCTCTGGAAACCAACTCTCTCTTCTGAGCTTCCCTGCCAAGCCCCATGTCTCCCTAATAATGTATGCCGTGCCACAGTGTCGTTCTTCAGGAAACCACATGAGCTTACTTTGGGTGGGGATGTCACAAAGGTAACGGTTCTTTTAAAATAGAATAAGCACAGGTCGTCTGATTTATCAGTTAAGAAGTTGTTGGTAACTTTGGAGAGAGAGGTTTCCATTAAGTGGTGCCACAGGAAGCCAGATAGCAAAGGGTAAAGTAAGGTAGTAAAGGCAACAAGTATAAACAATTTTTTCCTAGGAGTTAGCTGAGCCAGGTGGATGAGAGATAGGCTAACGGTTTGAGGGGATAACAAGGCTAATTAAAGGTTTTTCTCAGGCTAGTGGAGGTCTGGGAAGGTTCATAGTGGTGGGGGGAAAGCCAGTAATAAAGAGAGAGTGAAGATGAGAGTGAGAGAAAAGGACAAAGGGAGAGAGGAGGAGAGGAGGGGAGAAAGACAGAGATGGGAGTTGAGAAGAGGGAGAGAGGGAGGGATGGGGAGAGGGGTTGGTCACTTTTCCTTAGAGATTTTTTTTTTTTCTCTCAAGTGGTTTGATGACACAGAACATTCTTCCCACCAGAGACAGCCAGGTGTCACAGTGGAAGGGCATTGGACTTGGCTTCAGGAAGACCTAAGTTCAAATGTTCCCTCAGATACTAGCTGTATGACCCTGGGCAAGTCATTTAACTTTTGCCTACCTCAGTTTCCTCCCCTGTAAAATAGGGATAACAGCATCCATCTCCCCTTGCAAACCTTAAAGTGCTATATATATATGTATATATATATGTATATAAATATATTTGTTTATACAAGTTATATATTTGTTTATACAAGTTATTATGATTATTACCAGCATGGATCTGGATGAAGTATCTGGGTTTGAACAATCTGAAACTAACTGATCTCCCAGTGATGTGTGTCCTGAGTGGGATGTGGCCAGCTAGTCACTAACTATGCTTTCTGTCCCCATGGGAATGTATACTGTTTCCATCCTAACTCCTGGATGCAACTTTATTGCACTGAAGACCAACATCTATGCTTGATTGTGAAGAGGGCAAGAAAGCGGAAGGGTATGGCACATTTGAACAGAATAAGGATCTTAGAATGTCTGAGGTGGAAGTGACCTCAGAGGTCAATTTCAACTCCCTCATTTTCAGATAAGGAAACTGTGTCAAAGAGAGGCAAAATTACTTAACCCTAAGTCCACCCTGTGGTTATTAGCATGAGTGATGAGGGGCAGAGCTACCCTCCCAGGGTCACCAATCCCAGGAGGGTGCCTCTCCCACGCCACCCCACCCCTGCAAAGCCCTCCGTACCGGCAGCAGAAGTAAATAGGAAGCAAGGAGCTCCTGCGTTTGATGCTTCTGCACTCGGGATGGGGGCCCTAAGCCGGGATGGGATGTGAGGGAAGGGATAGGGTGGGGAGGGGAGGACGCTCCAGAAAAGAGCTCCGGCAGCCTGTCTGTTCCCCACCTTCGTCCACCCCTCACCAACACCCCAGCCACTCCTCTTTCGGCAGCCAAGGTGAAAGTGAAAGCTGGAGTTACAAGAAAAGGAAGTGTCCAAATTAGTTGTGCACAGTCCCCTCACTGTGCTGCAGGAGCTTCGACCCCAGCACCTCCTTCTTGCCCCTTCCTGACCTCCCCAACCTTTCCAGCCTCCTCTTGGTCACCCCTGCCGAGCCTGGAGCAGCCTCACCTCCACCCAGCTCAAACCATGCTGCACTCAGCCCGGGATCCCCAGGGGGGGCTTCTCCTTCGAAAACTGCCAGAGGTAAGAGGACGCCAGGCTGAGACTGGGGGCCTGGTCCAGGACCAGGGAGGGAGGGAATCGTCTTGTCCCTGATACCCCTCTCTGAAGATTTTGGGTACGTTGCTTTGAATTTCTGGGAATGGAAAAGAAAAGTGAAACTGGCTAGGTGGGG